ATTCTGAGTAGGATGTCTGTCTGAGGGAGTGTGGGTGCATGGGAGTGAAGCGAGCATGTATGAAAGGAACATGCTGGCAACCATGAGGAGAATGGATAGTCAGGGGAAAAGAAGCAGGGGAGCTAGTCAGAACAGAATTCAGGAAGTAAAACCAGAAGAGTAGAGCTGTCACCATTCCAGGGGAAGCAGGGGACAGGGTGGGAAACAGAATTTAGAACAATCTCCTTGGTGGCACTCAGCACCCCCTTACCGCTTAGTGCCAATGGCATCCAGCTCATCAATGAAGATAATGGATGGCGCTTTCTCCTTGGCCAGGGCAAAGGCATCCCGGACCAGCTTGGCACCATCCCCAATGAACATCTGCACCAGCTGGGGGCCAGCCAGCTTCAGGAAGGTAGCCTGTTGGGGGGGCATGGCAATGAGAGGCCAAAGACACCAAGGGAAGTCCCTCTCAGCCCATTTGGTAGAGCTTTAGCTTCTGCTTCTTTCTTCCTCATTTTCTCCCAAAGCACTCACCTTGGTTTGTGCAGCACAAGCCCGGGCCAGCAGCGTCTTCCCTGTACCTGGGGGGCCATACATCAACACCCCTTTTGGAGGCTGGATCCCCAAGTTCTCGAACTTCTCCTTGTGGTTCATTGGCAAGACAATAGCTTCCACCAGCTGCCAGGAAGAAGTCCTGGGTGAGGAGAGTGACGCCCCAAGGGCTCCTACAGCCCAACACTTAATGACCTCAACCCTAATAACCCATAACCCTCCTACTCCAATTCAGATACACTGACTCTCCTTCCCCTGCATCAAAAGGACCCAGGATGCTCACTCCCACCAAGGCTGGTTATGGCTGCTCCAGGGACAGCAGGATATAGTAGAAAGGTACCAGGGGAAGAACCAGGAACCTGAGTTCCAGTCACCACTCTGGCCCTAACCTTCTGTGACCCTCAACAAGTCATTTAAGCTCTCTGGACTTCAGCCTCCTAAACTGTTACACAGCAGCCTCCTTACGTCCCTAGGATGCTATGCTAAGAGGCACATTGGCAGTAAGTGCTCTGGTCAATGAAGCAAAAAAAAACACAAATGGCCGGCAAGGCTGCTACTGGCCAGTGCTTCTCTCACCTCCTGAATCTGCTTATCCAGGCCCCCGATGTCACTATATTGTTCTGTGGGCCTCTCATCCACCTCCATGGCCTTCACCCGTGAGTCATACTCTGTGGGCAGGGTCTCCAGGATCAGATAGGAGTCTTTGTTCACACCCTGGGGACAGAGCACGAAGCCTTCAGATTTGTCCCAGCTCAAGACCTAACTAACTGGCTGGGTGGCAGGTGTCTATATAGTGAAAGGAAAATACAGGACTAGGAAAGACGAGAACCAAAGAGCAAGCAGACAAGCTCAGACTCTCCGGGATGCTCTGCCAAGATGCAGGGCCAACAGTGACCTGGGCCTGGAGCAGAGGCTCAGCTAGTCCATGGGAGAAACCTCATTGGAAAAGCCGTCCCTGGGCTCAGGGACACCACTCACCACCAAATCTCCTGGCTTTAGCTTTTCAGCGTCCACCAAGCCAATCACAGGCAAGAAGTATGTCTGTAGGAAAAATTCCAGGTTCCATCTCAGTTACTGTCCTCAATAAAACTCCCTGGTCCTGTCCCACATCCATCCCTCACCCTCCTCAGTTCTATCCTAGAGCTATCCTCACCTGTCGTGTAGAGGTTTTGATCACTGCACATTTACCCTTCCTCTGAGAATCCAGGTCAATATTGGCACCATCCTCTTCTTGGTCATTGGGATCAACATCTAAAAGCTGGGGGGGGAAGCTCAGGTCAAGAGGTCCTGCTCAGCCCCCTCCACTCCCCAGAGTCCAGTGCTTCCCAGGCCAAGACAATCCACCTCACTCCTCAGACTATCCCAGGCCCAGGGCATTGATAAGATCCATTTAGGTGTTGCTTCTCCGCAGAGAGCTCTCTACCTCCAAGTAAGGAGGAAATGTGTGGCTTCTTAGGCCTCTTCAGGGTATCTACGTGTGTGTATAGTGCCCTGGAAATGCATACTAGGGAGGGGGCCCCGCAAGGCGGAGCTCTAAATGCAATTTGGGCCTCAAAACTTTCACCCACTCTTTCTCCAATGGCCCTACTGTAGGCTGCCTCCAAGCCCGGCTGACCCTTTCTCTTCCCCTCCACATACACACACACCTCGATGACGTTGGAGACAAGATATGGCAGGGTCTTGTTCACTTTGATTTTCTCACTGTTCTCTTTGATCTTGTCTTTCATGGCCTGGAGTTCATGGGTAACTCGCAACACTTCACTCTTCATGATCTGGGATGAGGGCAAGTGGAAGCAAATGTTCAGCCTTGGCTCACCTTATCCTAGGGAGGGCCCTGTAACTGGTGAGGCCCAGAGGGACCAGGGGAACCTTCCTGCATCCGCTGACTCCGTCTGGAAACCTCCTGAAGCAGTTGCAGCGGAGGGAAAAGAGCAGGGCTCTGAATCAAGCAAATACAGGTTTTAGCTCCTGCTTCTCATTAAGGGCTCAGTACTTCAGCACAGTAAAAAACCTGTTTCCTCATCTGTAAAATGCGGGCTCCCTAAAAGAAAGATTCTCAAGGGAAATTATTTAAAGACCTCGCTGGAAAAGGGAGCCTGATGAATCCTCTCAGACCTGCCTTCCCACCACTCGGTCTCTCAGAGGTAAGGCTTAGTTTTTTCTTTTCTTTTCTCTTTCCTTTTTTTTTTTTTTTTTTTTTTTTTTTTTAAATAATCCGCGGGCCCTATGTCTTCCTGGAAAGGCCGTGAGAAGAACGTAAAAGCCGCTGGGATCTCCAGGGCCGGCCCTGTGGGGGCTTCGCTGCCGGCCACCGGGGCTGTGAGCCCACCTTGATCTCACTGTCCAGCAGCCGTGTGCGCTGGATAATCTCTTCTGTGGACATCTTGAGCACCTCCTCCCCGATTCCATCTTGCTGTTAAAAAAAAAAAAAGTTTTTAACTCAGGAAAGGATTCCGCCTCCTCCGAACCCCACTAACAGCCTCAGCTTCCCCGACCATAAAACCGAATTGAAGGAGTCGAGCCCCTTGCCCACATCCCAAGCGGCCCCGACCCCGAGACCAGGCCAGACCTCGACCCCCCAACCTCTTCGAGGCCTCCCACCAAGGGCGTCTTCCCACTGGCCCCGGCTCCGGGATGCCCAATTCCCCCAGAGCGCACCTCAGCCTCATCCCACACGGTCGCCATCTTCTCCTGCCGAGTCACTGGATCCTCGAGTTTTGGCAGCAGATTCACGTCCTGAAGGAGAAGACTGAAGATCGAAACGGACAGAAGCTTCGGCCCGGAGATTAATACTATCTTTCTGAAGGCCTGCTCCTGAGTAGTGGCGGACCTCTCTCTCCAATTCCTCACTTAACCGAATTAGTTCCGGCCGCCACTGCCGTGACGAATCTGCTCCTCCTATTCAAATGACAAAGCCCGGGACACTGGACCCGCCCCCGGCTCCTCCACAGCTCCTGAAGCGTTACCGCCCTCGTCCTGTTTAAGCCGGAGCGACAGGTGGATGCGCTATTGGTCGCTGCGCGCGATGGGCGGAGCCTGGGTGTGAAACCGGAAGGGGCGGGAGAAGCGATGGGAGCCTCGAGAGCCTTTGGGAAATGTAGTCTTAAGCTGGCCGGTGATTGAAAGGGCGCTTTGGAAGCGGGGACTCGACCACAGGATCTGGCGCAGCTAGGAATTAGAGGATTCTCGAGATGGCTCTGCCTCCCAAACCATAGGCAACAGACGCCAGGCATGTGCAGAGGGCCAGAAAAAGGGCATGCCCAGGTCTACCAGACAGAATCATTAACCAATTTTAAAGAGAAATCGCTGCTGCTGCTGCTAACTTTTGAGCAGCGCCACAGAACTGCCCACGTGGGATGAGCTCCATTGACAACAGCCTCTCCAATTAAAAAACATTATGACCAACATCTGTACTCGTTTCTTGTCATCTCAGGAAGTAGGGCAGATCTCTGGATCATGAGACCCATTTTTGTTGTATCTGCGTCCCTTGCTCCGGAGGATCCTCTGCATATCACTGTGAGGTGAGACCCAGGGCACCCCTAAAATGAACTTCATATCAGCCACCAAGCATTTCTTTTAAGCCGAGCCTTCACAAATAATCTGCAAACTTGGTAAGAACCTGCCTCGTGGTTTTCTTGAAGCAGTTGAAGGCAGAGATTTCTTTAAGTAACAGCATTTGCAGCTGCTCAGGTTGGCAAACCAGCTCTGCGAGTAACAGCATTTCTAACCTCCTCTCAACAGCCCTGCCCAGTGGACAGATTGGATCATCATTCGCAATTTTTTTCATATTTATTTATTTATTTATTTATTTATTTATTTATTTATTTATTTAGTATTTGTAAAGATTTTATTTATTTATTCATGAGACACAGGCAGAGAGACACAGAGGGAGAAGCAGGCTCCCCGCAGAGAGCCCAATGCAGGACTCAATCTCGAGACCCGGATCACACCCTGAGTCAAAGGCAGACGCTCAACTGCTGAGCCACCCAGGCATCCCTATTTATTTATTTTTAAGTAATCTCTATGCCCAATGTGGGGCTCAAACTCAAGACACCAAGATCAAGAGTTGCACGCTCCACTGACTGAGCCAGTCAAACACTCCTCTGTCATTCTCCATGTTAGATAAGGGCATGGACGATCATAAAAGTGACTTTGTCCAGGGTTGTTCAGTGAGTCAGTTGTCAGCACAAGAGCTGCTGATCCCAAATTCACACTTGTCAGAGTTCCCTGACAAGAGTCAAGAAGACCAATTGAGGAAGAAGCTGTCCTGTGCTGGCCACAGCACACCCGCAAAAAAGAGTCAGAATTGCTGGGGTCAGGTACAAACAGTTTATTTTTCTATAAGGAGCAAAGTACAAAGAGGCAGGGAGGTCAGCTGAGCCTGGAGGAGCAACAGTGGGCAGGCCCTGGGCCCTGGCTGAGTTTGGAGGAGGTCCTGGCGGCTACCCCAAGAGTAAACAGGATCCAAGGTATGGCTAGTCAGGTGCCCCGGGCATGATGAAGGGGCAGGGGGAAGGGAAGCAGGAGCCCAGGAGTGCTGATGGGACTCACACAAAGCCAGGCTTCATGGATGAGCGGCGGCAGTTGGGGCAGCTCCGCGTCCCGTTGTTCTGCAGGCACCTTTGAAGGCAAAGAAAAGGTTTATTTACTGAACCCATGCTTTCATCCTGGGCCTGGGCTCTCTCCCTACCCCTCCCCTCTACAGGATCTGGGAAGGCGTCAAGGGAGAAGGTAGGGCCTGGTGGTCCTGCTTGCCCCTGGTACTCTGTTCTGGGGCTTCTAGGAGGTCAGGAGGTCAGCATGGAGAATGGTACCTGTCCCAGCCCTGAGGCAGGTCTGGCCCTGGGTGTCTGAATCCCATGGCCTTTGAGGGGCCTCTCTGAATTCTCTTTGGAAGAATAATGATGGCCACCTCACAGGGCTGCTGGGAGGATTCAAGGAGTTATTTATTACAGGGGAAGCTCTTAGAATGAAGGGAGCGCTACGCTCAACGTTACTACTGTGGTTAGGCCCTAGCCTACCCCACAGAGACCCTGGCCACCCCCTGCCCACAAGCCAGGAGCCCTCACCTGAGGTGGAAGATGTGCGAGCAGGGCAGGGCCTGAAGCCGGCTGTTCCTCTCACCTATGGACTCGCCACACAGCCCGCAGTAGAGCTCAGTCTCCTCCACACACTCATGGAAGCGCACGACATGGGCACGCAGCTCCCGCTGCAGCCCCTTGCTGCGGTAGATGCTCTCGCTCAGGCAGTGCAGCTTGAGCTGGCTTAGCTGGGGCCAGCGGGGAGCAGAGAGCAGGCATAGGGGACAAGACCAAGTCAGTCCCAGTGAGCCTCCCTCCTTGCCTAGCCCGAGAAGTGGCCCCCGAAGGACCACTGAGCCGTCAGTACACACAGGGTCTGGTCCTGGCGGTGCTCTTGGCTGGCTGATGGGCCTAGGAGAAACGTCCTGCCCTCTGGGCCTTGGTTTCCCCTCATGCAGAATGAAAGGATGGGTGAGGTAAGCAGTCTTCACCCCTAGAACTACCTAGGAACCCCATGTTTTTGAAGAATTTTATTGACCAGATCTGCTGCACTGATTCCATAAGAATGAATTTGCTCTTCTGTTTTTGTTAATTGAATACACATAACAAACAGCTCATTGGCATCTGTGACCAACCTGATATACTTGGGTAAAACTGAGCAGCTATAATCTATCCAAAAACAAAGATATTTGGCATTTTAGGGGCACCTGGGTGGCTCAGTCTGTTGGGCATCTGCCTTCGGCTTAGGTCATGATCTCCGGGTCCTGGGATCAAGCCCTGCATTGGGCTCTCCTCAGTGAGGAGCCTACTTCTCCCTCTCCCTCTGCCCCTCCTCCTGGCTTGTGCTCTTTCTCACTCTCTCTCTTTCAAGTAAATAAATAAAAATCTTTTTTAATAATAGTGAAAGGGAATATAAGGGAAGGGAGAAGAAATGTGTGGGAAATATCAGAAAGGGAGACAGAACATAAAGACTCCTAACTCTGGGAAATGAACTAGGGGTGGTGGAAGAGGAGGAGGGCGGGGGGTGGGGGTGAATGGGTGACGGGCACTGAGGGGGACACTTGACGGGATGAGCACTGGGTGTTATTCTGTATGTTGGTAAATTGAACACCAATAAAAAAATTAATTTATTAAAAAAAATCTTTTTTAAAATTTGGCATTTTAGTTGTGCTGTGCACTGGATCCTGAGAAATTTATATTTTCTAGAAGACCTCAAGTAACACTGAGCTTATTTTCAAAATTTAAAGGTTTGGATACTAAACCTAAAATTGAGAGGCCACATACACTATGGGAGGAATGCGGGCTTTAGAGTTAAGACAGACCAGGTACAAAGTGTGAGACCTGGAGCAACCCACTGAGCCTCACTTGCCTTAACTCTAAAAATGGGGCTTGCGCTCACCTCGCAGGGAGACAGTGAGGACTGGGACCAATACCTAGAAGCACCTGAGTGTACCCAGCTCTTAGTGACTGGACCCACTGTTAGGAGTTCTAATGACTATCAAGAAGCTCTGAGGAATTCTGATGTCCTCTGAGCTACGAATTTCTTGCCCTGCCCTCCAAAGTGCTTTGTGGGTGGAAGAGAAACAGCCAGGGTCTGGGAATGGGTGGTGGCAGCCCCTGGAGATCTAGAAGAGCTCAGGGCATGTGCAGGCTCAGGGTAGCCCTTCCCACACACCCAGGATCCCACCTTGGCCTCTTGACTCCAGACCCAGAAGACAGAATCAGGTCTGACCTTGTTCCCCACTTCCTCCGCCAGGTCCTGGGCTTTCTCGATGACATCCAGAGCCTAGAAGGCAAGCATAGGCCAGGGCTATGGGCAGAGTTCTCTGGCAGAGGCCTTGGCTCACAGGAAGGGAAGGGGAAGGGAAGGGGCAGGGAGGGGCGAGCTTGAGGAGGGCAGCATGGCTGGGCAGCTGCCCTGCCTGAGAAGGTAGCAAAAGGAGGCTGGAGCCCAGTCACAGAGCCACAGTGTGGGCAAGTTACCTGCTGCTTCAGTTTACTCAGATACAGAATGGGAAGACTATTCCTGTCTCATTGGGTATTGTGAAATCAGGAAAGCAGTTAACGCATCCTGAGTTCAAACCCAGCTCTGGCTCTTTAGTAGTTGTGGGTCTGGGCACATCGTGAGCCTTTTCTGAGTCTGGAAAATAACTTGGAATGTACTCACCTTATGGGATTCAGGTGAAGCTGATGTTAGACAAAATGTCTGGAAGAGTCCTGCCCAGGACCAGCCAGCCCCACAGACTTCTGGCTGACCTACTGGCTGCAAATAGGAGCAGTGGGGAGAGCAGGGGTGGGAGGTATAGGAAAGGGCCCGACCTCACCTTGTCCAGTGCTTTCCTGGCTATCCAGCATTTGGCCACTCCCAGCAGCACCTGCACCTGTCCCAGGCGGTTTCCAATCTCAGTCATGATGCTCATGGCAGAGTCGTACCTGGGGAAGGCTGTCTGCACAGCCAGGTGGGAGGGTGCAATCAGACTGGGTCAGGCCTGCAACCCCTCCCTCTGTACCCCAGTGGCCTCACCTCCAGGTCCCCACGGCTCCGGTGGATGTCAGCAAAGCACAGCAGGCAGAGTGCCTGGAGTGGCCGGTCCCCGTGCTGCAGTGCAATCTTCATAGATTCCTGTGAAGGGAAGCTGGTTGCTCCAGCCTGCCCATCTGCCCCCACCCACCCACCAGGGTGTCATTCCAGTGGGCCCCTCTGACAGAGCATCCCAGGAATCACCCTATCCAATACACCTAGCATGGCATCGAAGCCCTGCACACAAAACCAGTGAGGTCTCACAACGCCCAGAGAAGTGGACACAGGTTCAGAGAGCAGAAGTGACTTGATCAAGGTCACCTGGCTCGTAAATGGCAATGCTAGGATTTGAGCCCAAGTCAGTGGAACTCCAGAGACTGGCTCTCTTCCTATTTAAAGCAACCCACAGAGGATGTGTGTGGGGGGAGGCAGAAGGAAGCCCTCTCCCCTGAGAATGGACTGGAAAGGAGCAGAGGGGTGGGCAGAACAAACACATCCTTCGGGGGCTCATGGAGAAGGGGGCTACGGGCAAATCTTGGGACCCTAAGTGGCCTGATGTGGAAGGAGGACCCCTTAGCCCATACCACCACCCTCTACCTGCCCGCCTTCCCTCCTGCCCCACCTCACAACATTCCATGGCGCTGCCCAGGTGGCCCAGCAGGCGGTACGCCACAGCCATGTGGTACTGGCTCATGGCCCGGTACTTGAGGCTCCAGCCTTTGCCATAGTCGCTAACGAGCTCTGCGGCCTTGCAGGGGAAGAACAGGGCTTTCTCGTAGTCCTGTGGGGAACACAGGGAGGAGGTGGGACAAGAAGGGGCACTGTGAATGGCAGGATGCCCAAGTCAGGGGCTCCAGGGCCTGGCGTCTCCCTCAACGCATAGTGGGTACCCATAGGCCCTGCCGGTGTTCACTCATTCATTCATATATCCAAGGAAAAGGGATCCAGGCAGAGGGAACAGCCACTGAAAAGGTGTGGGCTCCACAGACATAGGAATTTTCATCCGGTTTGCTGATGTAGCCCAAGAGCCTAGCGCAGTTCTTAGCACTTTGTAGATGCACAATGAATATTTGTTGAATGAAGGAATGAATGAGAAGGCAAGAAAATACAGTTGGCTTCTCACTTACTCACAGTTGGGCCCCTTTTATCTTCAGAGACACACAGAAGGGGGTACCAGCACCCCCAGTAGTGTCTGCCCCCCAGTACCCAGCAGCAGGTGCTTCCCAAAGCCTCAGTGACTGATTGTCAGCCCCAAAGAACATCAGAACAGACTCACTGGGGCAATGAAATCATTCCTTCACCCCTTCGTTCTCCTCACACCTCCAAATACTCTTTCTACCTGCTGGATCTCAGCTGATGACCTTGCTTCATCACTCCACAGGGAAAACAGAAGAAAGTAGAAAAGGACTCTGTTCTCCACCAAATCCACGAGATGGATCACTCTGCCTCCCTCCTGCCACCATGGAGGACTCCCTGCTCCAACAGGTGTGAGCCCCTCCATGGGGGCTCTGGACACATCCCCCATCTCCTTGGGCTCAATCATTCCCATGATCCTACAAACATTTTCTGGCATTTCTTACCTCATTAAAAAATAAAAAAAGAGGGCAGCCCTGGTGGTGCAGCGGTTTGGCGCCGCCTGCAGCCTGGGGTGTGATCCTGGAGACCCGGGATCCAGTCCCACATCGGGCTCCCTGCATGGAGCCTGCTTCTCCCTCTGCCTGTGTCTCTGCCTCTCTCTCTGTGTGTCTATAAATAAATAAATAAAATCTTTAAAAAAATAAAAATTAAAAATTAAAAAATAAAAAAAGAAATCTCAGGAAGTCTGCTTCTCCCTCTCCCTCTGCCTGCCATTCCACCTGCTTGTGCTTGCTCTCTCTCTCTGTCAAATAAATAAATATATAAAATCTTTTTATAAAAAAATCAAAACCAAACAATCTTCTTCGGACCTCATGTCTCCTTCAGCTAAGCCCCATTGCTCCATTCTTTCTCTTAGAAAATCTATTTGATCTTCTACTTAATATCTAATAGGCATCTCTGGGGATCCCTGGGTGGCGCAGCGGTTTGGCGCCTGCCTTTGGCCCAGGGTGCGATCCTGGAGACCCGGGATCGAGTCCCACGTCGGGCTCCCAGTGCATGGAGCCTGCTTCTCCCTCTGCCTGTGTCTCTGCCTCCCTCTCTCTCTCTCTGTGTGACTATCATAAATAAATAAAAATTTAAAAAAAATAATAGGCATCTCCAAGTTAATATGACCAAAAGAGAACTCCCAATAACGCCAATAAAAATCTGTTCTTCGTGCTCACTTCGGCAGCACATATACTAAAAAATCTGTTCTTCACAAATTTTGTTACATAGTTAAAAAAAATTATTTACTTAAGTAATCTTTATGTCCTACATGGGGCTGGACCTCATGACCCCGAGACCAAGAGTCACACGTTCCACCAACTAAGCTAGCCCAGTGCCCTTTGCCAATGTATGTTTTTTTTTAAGATTTATTTATTTATTCATGAGACACACACACACACACACACACACACACACACACACACATAGAGGCAGAGACACAGGCAGAGGGAGAAGCAGGCTCCATGCAGGGAGCCCGATGTGGGACTCGATCCTGGATCCCAGAATCACAACCTGAGCCGAAAGCAGGCGCCCAACCGCTGAGCCACCCAGGCGTCCCCCAATGTATGTTTTTAATTTGAAGCCATGTAAATGTTCTAAATATTCAAAATATTTTAATTTAATTTTTAAAAAAAACCCAAAGATAGAGGTGCCTGAGTGCCTCAGCTGGTTAAGCCTCTGCCTTTGGCTTAGGTCATGATCCCTGTCTCCTGGGATCGAGCCCCACTTTGGCTCCCTGCTTAGTGGGTAGTCTGCTTCTCTCTCTCTTTTATACTCTCTCTCTCTCCATCTGCCCCTCCCCACTGCTTGATCTCTCTCAAATTAAAAAAAAAAATCTTAAAAAAAACCCTAAAGACAGAAAATGGAAATAAATAGCCCTAACTGTATATCATCATATTAATATAATTAATTATAAGTTTAATTATAGTTATTATAACACAATATAGTATTAATATATAATGCTATAAGATATTATTACATCATGTATTATGTTGCATTATATTAATATGACCACACAGAAAAAAGTATTTTGTGTATTTTTTAGGATATAAATATGTAATTATGTTGCTAAAAGCCAACATTTTCAGTCTAGGAGAAAAGAGAATCAAGATTAAAATAAATTAAGGAAAATCCTGAAACATTAGATTTGAATTGCAAATATCAGCATAAACTTCAGTTGTCTTGGCAACTAAAAAGATCTAGAAGCCATGACAACCCAGTAGCAATGAGCACCTTGAGAACCCACATTTGGTCTTTAATACAACTTCCCACCAGAAAAGCCCAGAAAAATGGCTGATTTCAGGTCCGGGGTGGGGACTATACAAAATGAGCCTGGGATAGTTTATTGTTCCAGAAAATAAGAACACTTTCAATGTTTAAATAAAGTCTCGTCAAAAGGACACAGGAGTTATATCGAAGGAATACCATTAGCTAAGGTCAAGATAATTTGAGCATCAGAAAAACAACATTACAATTAACTGAAGAATACTAGGAGCACTGGGGTGGCTCAGCGATTGTCTGCTTTTGGCTCAGGTTGTGATCCCCAGGGTCCTGGGATCGAGTCCCGCATCAGGCTCCCCTCAAGGAGCCTGCTTCTGCCTATGTCTCTGCCTTTCCCTCTGTGTCTCTCATGAATAAATAAATAAAATATTAAAACAAAAAAACAAAACTGAAGAATACTGAATATTTTAAAAATCCAGGATTTCATAACGATACTCAAAAAGAAGAAAGTAAAACAAGTAAGTATGATCATTGAAGGCGGGTATAACTTCAACTCCTCATCATCAAAGTGATAATTAAAGGAAGCGAGGGATGCCTGGATGCCTCAGCCAGTTAAGCATCTACCTTCGGCTCAGATTGTGATCCCAGGGTCCTAGGATCAAGCCCCACATCGGGCTTCCTGCTTAGGGGAGAGCCTGCTTCTCCCTCTGCCCCCTCCCTCACTCATCCTCATGCTCTTTCTCAAATAAATAAGTAAAATCTTAAAAAAAAAAAAAAGGAAAGGAAGAAATATTTATGCCTTTTACGCAGGAACTGCATTTCAGAGGAGCTAACTAGCCCATTTGATGGAGGACAGTTCTTCCTTACAGAAAAATCCAGCCAACAACTGTAGAAGAATGGTAGGACTTGGAAATCGCCATTCCCTTCAGTTGAAATAGAACTGATGCAGGCAAGAAACATCACTGGACACTAAATCTGCCCAGTGGAAACTGTGGCCACAGAACTGAACATTCACAGGAAGCCAGAAGTCACCTCCCTCCAAGTTCACCTCCTGGTCACAAAAGGACAAACACAAACCCTAAAACCAAGGGATCAGGTCATTGTCCCCATATGGGATGTGATGCAACATGAAGCTCCCAGTAGCGCTGACACAGTCTTCTTACCAAAACAGTGTGACCTGAGTCTTCCCTGGTCACAGGGAAGCAGAGGGGAGGAAAAAACCCCACAAAACCCCAGTCACATGACTCCTTGCAGAAGCAAGGGGACAATGAGATGAAGTACGTTCTAGGGCAATCCATCCCCTTGTTGGATAAATCATGGAAAATAAAGGGGAGGAGAGAAATCTCCTACTGAAAGAGACAAGAGACATAATGCCCACTGCACGTGTGCCTCTTGTTGGTGTTCCAATTTCTAGAAGCAGAGGGTAGAGGCGTGTTTTCAGGATAAGCAGAGATATTTAAGAGATAACTGTGATTACATAAGAAAGTATCCTTATATAAGAAAATATCTTTTTTTTTTTCTTTCAGAGATGCATACTGAACTACTTTGGGGTAAAGTATCATGATGTGTATCTATAATTTCATGTCACAACACTTCAGTTAAAATACGTTGTCATATATGGGTAATATTAATAATTGTTCAATCTAAATGGTGGGGATAAGGAGATTCATTATATTATTCTTTTTTCCTGTATGGTTAATTGTCTTCATAATAAAAAAGATTTGGGGATGCCTGGGTGACTCAGCAGTTAAGCGTCTGCCTTCGGCTCAGGGCGTGATCCTGGAGTCCCAGGATCATGTCCCGCTCTGGGGTCCCTGCATGGAGCCTGCTTCTCCCTTTGACTGTGTCTCTGCCTCTCTCTCTGTGTCTCTCATGAATAAATAAATGAAATCTTTAAAAAAAAAAAAAGATCTTAAAACACTCCATCCCTCTCCCATTTTTTGAATCTCACTGAGTGGGTTCTTCCTACGTCTGGTTGCTAAAAACAAAATCCTCGGTGGCATCCTGGATGACTCTCATTTGCTTGCACCTCACCTTTGATTCATCAGCATTTGCACACCTATCTACCCCCAGATTTATTAAGCATCTACTGTGTGCCAGGCATCAACATCCCCTGTGGGCCGAGGGCAGCCTGGATGCCTAGGGTCCTGGCCAAACAAACACTGGACCAGAAACAAGCCTGTGGTCTCTGGCTCCTCTGTCCATTCCCCATCTGCCTTCTCCCCTCCCCACCTTGGTTCTCACCACCTCCCACCTCCTTGTCCCACACCTGCAACAGCCATGCTGGCCTCCGTCGTCCCTAGAATAGGCCAGCTATGCCCCACTCCCCCCACCCAGGGCAGAGTTTTACTTTTGCTGTTGTCTCTGTTTCAGGCTTTTACCAGTTTTCTGCATGGCTCATCCTCTCATCTGCTTCCAACCATCAGACTGATAACACCTCTCCGAGGCCTTCCAGTCATTCTATTTGAAGTTGTAACACCCCATCCTCGGCACTTCCCACCCCCTTTCCCACTTTCTCCTAAGCACTTTCTAGAGCGCTGTGTGATTGAGTTACTGATTATATTTGACTTTTTCTAGAATTCAAGCTTTACATGGCCAGGGGCTTTGCTGTTGTTTTCACTGCTTGCATCCCAAGCCAGCAGAGCAGCAGGGCATAGAGTAAACAGTCAATAAATACTTGATGAATGAATCCTTAACAACTGTGCTGGACAGTGGGCCCTGTTCTCCCTCATTGTGTAGATGTGCCTACCAAGGCTCCGAGATGAGAGGTGCCATGTCCAAGACCAGACCACACAGCAAACACATGGCAGTACAGGTTCATGGCCAGTCCTCACAAGGAGCCTCCTGTTCCCCCAGAAGGCAGACAGACCAAGGTCTGAATGCTGGCTCTGCCCTTCCCGGTAAGTCTGCACCTTCCTGGGTGAGTCTTCCCTCTCAGACTCTCCTATGTGGGAGGACTGAGTACGGTCCTGAATGGGGAGTGTGGCTCACAGGAGGGTGTCAGGGGACCCGAGCCCTCCCCCGTCCACCCCTGGGCCCGAGGCCCACCTTGACCTGGGCATAGAAGCTGCCCAGGCTGCAGCAGACGCGGCACTCGAGCATGGCGTCGTCATTGTTGTGGGCGTAGCGCAGGGCCTTCTCGAAGCTCTCCAGTGCCTTTTGGAAGAGGCTGAGGCCCAGGAAGGCATTGCCCATGCTCAGGCTGACCTGGCCTCCGAGCTGGGCGCCCGCCCTGGTGCCGGGCAGGCCGACGCAAGTCTTGCAGTAGGAGATGGTCTTGTGGAACTCACACAGCTTCTCGTTGCTGCGTGCCAGGTTCAGGTAGCTCTCCAGAAGGAAGTCGGCATCCTCCAGCTCCCGAGCCGTGTCGATCTGCACCACAGCGAACTGCCCGGGGGCAAGGGCAGGAGCGGTCAGCCTGGGCTCCAGGCCTCAGACCCGGGCCTCCTCCCCGCCTCGCAGCCAAGGCCTCGGACCCAGAGCTTCCAGCCAAGGCCTCAGATGAGCTCTCTGTTCCCCAGCCACAGGCCAGGAGCATCAGCCCTGGAGCCAAACACACAACCCTTCAGCTTTCGCCCCCGGCCTTCGTGGGCCACCCACCCACCCACCTACCCGCAGCCTCAAACCTGGAGCCCAAACAGGAAGGCTGGAAGCTAGCTTCCCAGACGGGGCCTGGCCATTGCCGAGCCCTGAAGCCCAGAAGCTCCGTCTCCGTGTCACACAGAAGTTCAAGGCCCAAGGACCTTCGACGGGTCTGGGAGCCCCTTGCGGGGCTGGGCTGCTAGCCAGGGGGACGCAGGGGAGCATGAGGAGCCAGGAGGGTGGGCAGCCCGGGCCCACCTTCAGCATCTCCTTGTAGCGGCCCATCTCCGAGTGCGCCGTCACCAGGCAGCCCAGCACGCGGAAGCGCCCCACGAGGTCGGCGCTCTTCTCCAGCACCTTCATCCACACGTGCAGCGCCTTCTCGGTCTGGTTGGACTGGTACAGCTGGAGCCCCTTCTCGATCTGCTGCTTCGTCTGGTCCTGCCCCATCCTCGCAGAGCCCTGCACCGCACGAGGAGGGAGAGACCCCGGGCGCTCCGGGCTTCTAGGCGTTCATGGCGCGGACCGCAGTGCCAGCCGCCCACGGAGCCCCAGGGAGGACAGCGGCGCCAGGCAGGGGCCCAGAAGGGGCCTAATGGAGAGCGGGCGCCACCCTGGGAACAAGGCTTGTCCGGCCCCAGTCCGCAGCTGTCCCTGCCAGTTGGGGCCACGTGGCCGCTGAGGAATGTCAGCCACAGTGTCACGCGGGCCTCTGCCGCACCCCCCCACCCAGGCTGGGAGGTGGCTTCCCCGGGATGCAGGCACCCTGCTCCCTGCTCCCCCCCAGCCTTGGGTGTCTCCTCGGGGCCTCTGACACTGGCCCCTGCCTCCCTGGCCCTGCAGGCCCTCCCCGTGGCCTGGCCGAGGAGCCGCCTCCAGGGACAGGCTGAGGGCCTGGAGGAAGCAGGGATGAAGTGAGGCGGGTGGCCAGCCCTGAGCCCTGCATACCCCCACCCATCAAACCTTCCCCCCAGACCTACTCCTCCCCAGGCTTTGTTTCTGGGATTCGCTGGGCACTGGGCACCAGGATCAATCCTCCATATGCACACCCACACCACACCCAACATCTCATCCACACTCACAGTATGACCCAAGCCAGGTCATTCACCTCTCTGTTCCTCAGCTTCTTCATCTGAAATGAAGAGCACAGGCTAATAAAGCCTGACCCAGAGGGGTGCTATGAGACAGCACAGGATAGTGGGGACAGCATGCACCCTGGAGCCAGACTGACTCTGCCACTTACTAGCTGTGTGGGCCATGTGACTGTGGGCAAGAGAGTGCTGGTACCCACCTCAGTGGATTAGAATGAATGAACTAGTTGGAGAGGACATAGAACAGCAGGAGGTCACCCCAAGCTGTGTCCAACTGCTCCATGGCACACCACCCACCAGGGACAGGAGTTGATCCCTGAAGGGTTAAGAAGCATCCTGATTCCCATCTCTGTCTCAGCTTGAAAGGGTGCCTAACAGTGACTTTTAATGCCAGACACTGTGGAGAAGTGTCTTATGCAGGGAGCAGACTCTTGAAATATGGGGGCTTCTAGTGTTGAAAGGCCTTAGGTAATAGGGCCCTGCCAACCCCACCAGCTCTATCTCCCTCAGTTTTTCTCCTTCCACTCTGTGACAGCAGCCCCCTTCTTTTATTTTTAATTAAAAAATTTTTTTAAATTTAAATTCAGTTAGGGGATCCCTGGGTGGCTCAGCGGTTTGGCGCCTGCCTTGGGCCCAGGGCGCGATCCTGGAGTCCCGGGATCGAGTCCCGCATTGGGATCCCGACATGGAGCCTGCTTCTCCCTCCTCCTGTGTTCTCTGCCTCTCTCTCTCTCTCTCTCTCTCTCTGTCTCTCTGTCTATCACAAATAAATAGATAAATCTTTAAAAAATAAATAAATTCAATTAGTTAACATATAATGTGTTAATTGGTTGCAGAGGTAGAGATCAGTGACTTATCAGTCATCACTATATAACACCCAGTGCTCATTCCATCACATGCCCTCCTAATGTCCATCACCCAGTTACTCTGTCCCCCCACCTTCCTCCCCTCCAACAAACCTGTTTGTTTCCTATGATTAAGAGTGTCTTACAGTTTGTCTCCTTCTCTGATTTGTCTTGTTTCAGTTTTTCCTCTCTTCCCCTATGATTCTGTTTTATTTCTTTTTTTTTAAAGATTTTATTTATTTATTCATGAGAGACACACACAGAGAGAGATGCAGAGACACAGGCAGAGGGAGAAGCAGGCTCCATGCAGGGAGCCTGATGTGGGACTTGATCCTGGGTCTCCAAGATCACGCCCTGGACTGAAGATGGCGCTAAACCGCTAAGCCACCGGGGCTGCCCTCTGTTTTATTTCTTAAATTCCACATGAGCGAGATCATATGATGATTGTCTTTCTCTGATTGACTTGATTTCATATTTTGATGACTGAGTAATATTCCATTGTATGTATACACCACATCTTCTTTATCCATTCATTTGTTGATGGACATCTGAGCTCTTTCCATAGTTTGGCCACGGTGGACATTGGTGCTATAAACATTGGGATGCAGGTGTCCCATCATTTCACTACATCTGTATCTTTGGGGTAAATACCCAGTATTGACATACCCTAACCAGAATAGGGTAGCTCTATTTTCAAATTTTTGAGGGCCTTCCATAATGTTTTCCAGTTGGCTATACCAGCTTGCATTCCCACCAACAGTGTACCAAGGTTGCCTTTTCTCCCCATCCTCACCAACATCTGTTGTTTCCTGATTTGTTCATTTGAGCCATTCTGACTGGTGTGAGGTGGTATCTCATTGTAGTTTTGATTTGTACTTCCCTGATGATGAGTGAAGTTGAGCATCTTTTCATATGTCCCTTGGCCATCTCTATGTCTTCTTTGGAGAAATGTCTGTTCGTGTGTTCTGCCCATTTCTTGACTGGATTATTTGTTCTTTGGGTTTGATAAGTTTGTTTTATAAGTTCTTTATAGATTTTGGATACTAGCCCTTTAACTGATATGTCATTTGCAATAATCTTCTCCCATTCTGTCCGTTGTCTTTGGCTTTGTTGATTGTTTCCTTTGCTGTGCAAAAGCTTTTTATCTTGATGAAGTCCCAATTGTTTGTTTTTGCCTTTGTTTCCCTTGCCTTTGGAGATGTGTCTAGCAAGAAGTTGTTGAGGACCAGGCCCCTTCTTTCCCCAGGGGAAAGGTCATCCTTTCAAAGTGGACAGTTTTTAGTATATCCACAAATTTGTACACTGAAGGATGCCTGGGTGGCTCAGCGGTTGAGCGCCTGCCTTTGGCCCGGGGCGTGATCCTGGGATTCCAGGATCGAGTCCCACATCAGGCTCCCTGCATGGAGCCTGCCTCTCTCTCTGCCTGTGTCTCTGCCTCCCTCTCTCTCTCTCTCTCTCTCCCTCTGTGTCTCTCATAAATAGATAAAAATCTTTTAAAAATTTGTGTACACTAATCACCACTAATCCCAGAATATTTACACACATCAGAAAGAAGTCCCATATTGCGGCGCCTGGGTGGCTCAGTTGGTTAAGCATCTGTCTTTGGCTCAGGTCATGATCTCAGGATCCAGGGGTGGAGGTCCCTGAGTCAGGCTCTCTGATCAGCAGAAAGTCTGCTTCTCCCTCTCCCTCTGCCTGCCACGTCCCCTGCTTGTGCTGTGACAAATAAATAAAATCTTAGAAAAAAAAGCCCCATATTGATGAGTAGTCACTCTATTCCTCCTGTTATAGTCGAATTGGTGTCCTCCCTGATTCATGTGTTGAATTTTTATTTTTTTTAAAGATTTTATTTATTCATGAGAGACACACACACACACACACAGAGAGAGAGAGAGAGAGAGAGAGAGAGAGAGAGGCAGAGACACAGGCAGAGGGAGAAGCAGGCCCCAGCAGGGAGCCCGATGCGGGACTCAATCCCGGGACTCCAGGAACATGCCCTGAGCCGGTGGCAGGCTCTAAACCACTGAGCCACCCAGGGATCCCCTTGTTGAATTTTTAAGAAGATTTTGCTTGTTTATTTGAGAGAGAGAACGAGTAGAGGAGAGACAGAGGGAGAAGCAGACCCCTGCTGAGCAGGGAGCCCGACACAAGGCTCGATCACGAGTCTCCCGGATCATGCTCTGGGGCGAAGGCAGGCGCTAAACCACTGAGCCACCCAGGGATCCCCATGTTTTTTATTTTTAAAACAATTATTTGAGGGACCCCTGGGTGGCGCAGCGGTTTGGCGCCTGCCTTTGGCCCAGGCAGATCCTGGAGACCCGGGATCGAATTCCACGTCGGGCTCCCGTTGCATGGAGCCTGCTTCTCCCTCTGCCTCTCTCTCTCTCTCTCTCTCTGTGACTATCATAAATAAATAAAAAAAAAATAAAAAACCCAATTATTTGAGAGAGAGAGAGCAAGAGAGCAAAAAAGCACACACATGAGCCAGGGGTCAGAGGGAGAGGGAGAAGGAGACAGGATCTCAAGCAGATTCCCCACTGAGCATGGACCCTGACGCAGGGCTTGATCTCATGACCCTGAGAACATGACCTGAGTAGATATCAAGAGTCAGACGCTTAACTGATTGAGCCATCCAGGCTCATATGTTGAATTCTTAACCCCCAGATGTAATGTTGTTGGAGACACTGTCTTGAAAGAGGTAAAATGAGGTCATTAGGGTGGGCCTTAATCCACTATGACTAGTGTCCTAAGTTCAGGACACAGACACACAAAGTAAGACCAAGTGAAGACATAGGAAAAAGACAGTCACATACAAGCCAAGGAAAGAGGCCTCAGAAGGAATCCACCCTTGTAACACCTTGATCTCTGAGTTCTGACCTCTGGTACCGTGAGAAAACAAATTCCCATTGCTTAAGCCACTCAGTGGTATTTTGGGTTTTTTTTTTTTGTTTGTTTGTTTTTTATTTTTTTTTTTAAATTTATTTATGATAGGCACACAGTGAGAGAGAGAGAGAGGCAGAGACACAGGCAGAGGGAGAAGCAGGCTCCATGCACTGAGAGCCCGATGTGGTATTCGATCCCGGGTCCCCAGGATCGCGCCAAACTGCTGCGCCACCCAGGGATCCCTTTTGTTTTGTTTTTAAAGTTTATTTATTTAGACAATCTCTACACCCAATGTGGGGCTCAAACTCACGACCCTGAGATCAAGAGCCTCACACTCCCCTGACTGAGCCAGCCATGTACCCCAGCGGTACTTTGTTATGCAGCCTGAGCAAACTAATACACCTCGCAACCACCACCTACTTTCCAGGGAATTACCTATTTTTTGGACATTTCATATACATACAATCATACAATATGTGGTCTTCTGTGACTGGCTTCTTTCACTTGGCATCATATTTTCAAGGCTCATCCATACATAAATCAGTACATCATTCCTTTTTGTGGCTAAATAGTATACATTATATGTATGGATCTACCATTTTATTAGCCATCCCTTGGTGAACCACGTGAGGTTTGGTTCACTTTTTGGCTGTAAAGAATAACAGTGCTAGGAACACACATGTACAAATCTTCCTATTTTCATTCTTGTTGCGTTCAGCTTCTGAGGAATTGCCAACAATTGCCCCAGGGCCTTTGTACCTCCTGATTTCTTTTCCCCTCCCTCCCACCATCCTGCTTAG